AAGGAAATTGCACTTTTAAAAGGACTAAGGAGAGTTTCGAGGAGTGGAAAATTCAGTCAAAGTTTATTTTCGACGAAAGAAAAGTCGTTTTTCATCAAAAGACTTCAATTTTAAAAACGCAAATACGATTTATTTGATAGTTAGAACTACTTTGCATCCTACAACAGCAAAAGTTTGAAGGGTATCAGGTTTGTTTTCATAAAAACGACACTAGTTGAACGTGCCGAAGTGAACTTTGCTCTTTAACTAAAAAAAAACAACTTTAAAACATAAGTCTACGGACCAATACCTTTTTTGTATTAACGTCTAGGTATAGTTGTTTATTTTGAGTGCTTTTTGACTTCTCTAAAACGTGAATAAATCGATTTTTCCGTAGAAATCCCCCGTGATTTGCGATTTGTGATTTGGCGCCCGGGAAAAGTTCGCGCGCTGTGACTTTCAAAAAAGAACTGGGGAGAGCTAAATTTCCTCGTAATTTTGTTTTTTTAGTAAAAATACGCCTAAAAATTAAGTTTTTCGTCCGAAGATTTCAATTTCAAAGATTCAAACTTGGTTTTCTGGATAGTTCTAAGTATTCTACATCCACTAACAGCAAAATCTTGAAAGGAACCATTTTTGTATTCAAGAAAATAACAAAATATTTTCCGTGCCGAACAAAATACGACTTTCAGGTACACAAAAAATAACGTTAAGTCTTTTCTACGACTTCCAAACATGATTTGGTCAATAGTCCAAGTATCGTAGATGTTTTTAAGTTTTTTATCTATGTTCTAGCATAGCTAGAAAGGCAGAAATCCGAGTTTTTCGAAGAGGTGTATTTTCGCCGCCGTACCTCCAATGGCGGCCTTCAATTTGGCTTCAAAGATGGCGGCCGAGTTATCGTTCCAGTCTTATTAGAGTTCACTGTTCCTTGCAGGCTTGCCGCAAACAATATAAATAATGGCGTGCATAAGGTCGACAACAGTTTTCTGCGTTTTATTTCTTGCTCTTTACGCCGTGTTTTCCCAAGTAGAAGCGAATGAGTGCTATTCTGACTCTGGATGTGGTTACTTAAAGTATTGCTGTGAAAGAAAATATCCCAGTTACGACAATATATGTCTGAACAATTGCATTGGAGAATCGTGTACTATTGACGACGACTGTGCACCGAGTGAAACTTGTTGTGGTGTTGATAAGAAATGTGGCACAACTTGCATTGGAAAATCGTGTACTTACCGTGACAGCCACTGTGCAACGGGTGAAACTTGCTGCGGTAATTCTGATAAGAAATGTGCGACAACTTGTATTGGAAAATCGTGTGACTACAGTTACCACTGTGCTACTGGAGAATGTTGCAATTCTGATGATAAATGTGACACAGATTGCAGTGTTGTGATTAAAGGTCTAGCTGGTTGGATTGTTGCAGTGATTGTTATCAGTGTGATTGTTGTTATCGTCATACCTATTGCAGTTGTCGTCTTTTGCTGTTTTTGTGCGGCTGGTGCGGCAGCAGCCTCGAGACGTCCTGCTCATGGTGGTATTGTATTAACACAACCTACAACCACAGGAAATACAGTCTTTGCAACCCAGCAACAACAACAACAATTCGCTGCACAACAAGGACAACCAATGTATTTCCAAAACTCTCAACCATATCCAAACCAACCCCCACCAGAATATCAACCTCAAGGGACAGTGTATCCACGAGGGGCAAGTGGTGGATATATAGCGATGACACCACAAACTCAAGTAAAGCCATAAAGAACTGAAACTGATTCAGCGAGCACAGTGATGCTTGTCATAAAATGTCTATGTATTCTGTGTGTAATGTCTATGTATAACATTAAATGTAATATGCTAGCATGTAAACGTGATAGGACATAAAATTTTGCATGGTAATGGAACACCAATCCCACATAACAGAACCTGAAATAACGGTCCGACATCGGATATTTTCTGACCAAATCACAGTTTTTCTGACCAAATCACAGTTTTTCCAACCAAATTCTAAATTGGTCAGATATTTCTCCGGAAAAAAACATTGCAATCAATGCAATCCTCCTGCAAATAATTTTAAATGTAAAAAATTTAGTTATCCAGGCTAGTGTTTGGCATGAAGTATTATTTATATTGAAAAACAAAGGAGATCACTGACTTGTCGGTGGTTTTATATGTGATAAAAAATCATGTTTTAACTTTGATTTTCTCGGCTTAGACAACGTTTATTTTTAAAATTACTTCGCCAATGAACTCTTTTGATTGGTCGTTTTTTAAGCTATTTAAAATAGTACATAATTAACCCAACGAAGGCCTGAAAGCAAAATAGAATCGAAAAAATGTCCGACCAAGTTTGAAAGTTTTCAATCAAATTAATTTCACTCTATGTTACAGACATGTGGTAGACTGATTAAATTATAGACAACAAAATAGGAACAAAATAACAATAAACGTGTTTCATTTACGGAATTTGGTAGAGAATATGTATTCCTGTTCTGTTAGTATAAATATAGGCTAAAAAGTGGTTATGTTTATAGTGTTGTGTTGAATATGTTCGTGTGTATGTTAGTTATTGAATTATGAAGTATTATATGAGCTGAGAGTGTAAGCAGAGAGCGTGAATCGCAGAGTTTGTTAAAATGAATGAATTATTTAAACAGTCATTTTAAAGTAACATCAGTCATTGTAAAACAACGTGCACTAAACAATTGTAAACATTTGTACTAAATAAGTATATTAAAAAATACAGTCCCACGTGTGAAGTGTCTTGAATCATGAGCCAGCCTCCGGCGTGACTTAAATCGCGCTAAGTTAGCACTCACTTCAATGACAAAAAAGGAAGAAAACAAGTCAAATTTACGTCGTGTTTCCACAAACAAAAGTATTATGTTTTATCGCCATGCAAACCTACAAAGAACTTAATTTATAGCCCTTCCCGAAAATGTTGTCATTAATAATAAAGGTATAAAAATGTATCGTATGTAATGTTAGATACGTGGATACGGGATATAGATTCATGTCTCGCTAATAGGGTTAGCGGTTAGGGTTAGGGTGGGGTCTGGCCCGGGATTAGGGTTAGCATTATAAATAGCGAGACATGAATCTATAACCTGGATAGGTCAATGGGTAGCCGCTGGTCCAAGTCAAGTATTATCTGAAAGATGGTAAAATTTGGTTAATTATCATAATCGCCGATTAATTAAAGCAATTAAAATCCTTGAACCTATAGTACAAACCATAGTTAATAGAAAAAAGGAAAGCGAAGACTTGACCAAAGTGATCCATCAATTATTTTCCGGAGGACTTGAGTCTATTGTTGAGTTGGGTGCAGAATCCGTTCTTGGTAATGACAGCGTGGGAGAGTACGAATCAACTGATATGTTTATTGTCTGGAGTGACAATGCTCTACTTCGTTGTGATACGTACTATTACCGATGGAACTTTGTGTCAAAATCTGTAATAAACGAAGTAGAAGGGGTGACTGGTTGTCTTTTGATGAAACGAGTGATTGATATAACAAAAACCGATCCTCAAGTGTTGACCTGGGCTATAACAAGAATGGCAGATCGTTTCAATAACGCGGCAGAAGAGAAACCAGGTGACTCTGAAGATGTCATTAATGAAGCCTTAAAAATCTTGAAGAATGTCGTGACATTTCACCTGTGAGATTGCAGATACTCTGCATTCTTTTAAATTAAGTAAGTTAATAATGAATAAAATTCACAAGTTTCAATGAATGAAAACATTCAATAAATATAAAGTGTGGGTCACCGACAGTTTTCCAGTTAAATTACAAAGTGGATTCGCCTGAAACGGTAATGCAATTAAAGGGGAAAATAACGTTGGATGTAAGAGACCAAGTGGTCAGTTTCCATCGATAATGCATGAAACGTGACATTAAACTACGTCATAATGTACGCTGCTAGTGGAAGACGACCCACGTTATGACGCAACCGGAGCTTTGCAACAATAAATATACAGGTAATGAAGAAAGACTGAGTGATCGCCTACTAAGTTATAGTTAAAGGGGCTCAGACTGAGTCAGAGCCCCTTTAACTATAACTTAGCAAGGGTGGGTTGTAGCGAAGTAGTTGTAGTTCGCTACTGTAGCGAACTACAATTTTCAAGTAGCCAGTAGTTTTTGACTACTTTTTTAAAACAGTAGTTGTAGTTATGCATGAGTCAATTCCAGGAGTAACCATCCCCCCCCCCCGGGAACACACCCGGAAATTTGATTAGATTGGTTATGACAGTGTAAATGCCCGGGTGCCGGGACACAACTTGAAGACTAATGCACGGCCCCAGGGCACGCTGAGAGTGGAAAATGCCCCACCCCGGGGACGATTTTACAGTCGATTTCACGAAACTTTGACCACAAATGTTCCGAATTTCGTTGCGAAGTTCGCAAGTTCGTTGTGAAGTTCGGAAGCTCATATTGGAATTCACAAGCCAATTTGTAAACAAAGTCCCTGATTGATCCGTGAAGTAAAATAAGCCAATCAAATGCGTAGTTTACGAACTGGTTTGTGAATCTCATTATGAACTTTTGAACTTCGCAACAATCTTGTGAACTTCGCAACGAAGTTCAGAAATTTTGTGGTCAAAATTCGTGAAATCGACTGTAAACGTTAATTAAACTTTTAAAGGCACATAATCATAGTCATTTAATAACATTATAGTATTAAACTGCTATGGAATATTATAAAACATAAACCTTTAGTAGTTGTATTTAAATTTGCATGGCAGAGGGTATAATTTTCGCTTATTCTTACAATAAATTTCACGCCACCTTGACCACGAGGGCGCAAACCACGATCAGCGCGCCCACATGCTTGCCTGAAACTAGGTTTTGCTGCCTTAAAATTTGTGGGTGGGATTCTGGGCAACCATTTCTCAAATCCCCGGGGTCCTCCAATACCCGGCCCCCGTGCACATATATGAAAGGCAAATTCCCGACCCCCGTGAACTGTCTATCGGGCAAATGCCCGGGGGTGTCCCGGGGGGGATGGTTACTCCAGGAATTGACTCATGCATTATAGCAGGGGCGTAGGAACACATTCGAGATTGGGGGGGCCGAATTCCTCGAGGCGCCACCATGGTTGGCGCCGAGCGGAAAATTCTTTGAAAATTAGAGGCTCTAGATCCTTGGAAATGGCCATTTCAGAGCCCTATCTACCTATTTCAGTACGGACAGTAAGCTGGTTGAGCGAAACATGCAGTGCGTTTTTTTAATATATTAATGCGGTGAAGGCACCAAAAAATTTGGATCCGTAAGACTAGGCAAAAAATTTGGATCCGTAAGACTAGGCAAGTTGAAAGTTCGATCCACACTTGTTTTTATTTTAATTGACACTTCAATGAAAATTTATCAGAACAAATATAATAAGCTATATCAATGAATCAAGCAAAACTGTAACTAACAATATTTAGAAAGAATTGTCCTGCTATCAAAATTCTAAAGTCGCAACTGTTAATCGAAGGAGCCAAAAAAGGCCCTTCTACGTTCGTGACAGGCTGCAAATTTCTTTGCAATTCCATGGATGTCAAGATCATCAAACTCTGACTGGTAAATGTTTAGCAGTATGACATTGTTTAGTCTTTCTTGCCCCATCGTCGCGCGAAGGTACGATTTCAGTCTCCTGAGCACTGAGAACGTACGTTCCGCCGTTTGCGCTAGTTGCTGGAACTGTAAGGAATAGCCTAAGCAGCTTGTCAACCTCGGAAAACAATTTACGGTTGTTGGGATTTTCAGCAATTAAACTGCACAGGGTTTCAAGTTTGGTGACCTCCTTTATTGGCACTGCAGAATTCGAACATTTAACCAGATCGGGCAGCATCTTCAAATGTAACTCCAGACGAACCAAGTCAAGATCGTTCGCGTAAATGTCAGAAATCGTTTCTTTAATGACAAAGTGATTTCCATTGGCAGCTCTTAAAAGTAGTTGTTCAATATCTCGAAGCAACGTGAAGCTTTTCTGGTCAAATCGCCGAACAAGTTCTTGATATACAAGATCGAGAACTTCAAAATATTGCTGGCGGTGAAATGCTTTTGGGCTGCCGAAGTCATGCCCTGGAGCACCATCATCAAATCTTGCTGGTACTTTTCGTTGCCGCGCGAGAAATGGAGCTTTCGTTTTACCTTCGGACTCCTTTACTACGCGGTCGTAGAAACCGTTAAACTCTTTATCTGAACGCATGCGCTTGTAATAATTGCCTGTAAGATTGGAAGAATTAATAGCCTCTTGGATGTTGCAATCTTTACTCTGCAAGGTTCGAGATAATTCTTCACCTGGACTAAACACAAGGTAGGACAATCTTAAACCAAACAGAGTTGAGAACTTCTTGAGTCTTCTAAGCATACCATCTGCTTTAGAGCAACATCTCCACCTTCGTCAACAACATCGTTGCAGGTTTCTTTTAGACCCTCGTAGTTGTCCAAGACAGCTTTAATAGCGTCACTTCGAACTGTCCAACGAGTTGGGCAAAGAGGTTTAAGATTCTGGTGGCCATAAAAGATTGTTTCCTCATCTTCCATTTGCTTTTCATTGAAGATTTCAGCCCTCTTTGGCGATTTGTTGACAATATGGACAGCTTCCCGGACCAAGTCTAAGGCATCTTGTATCAGACGAAATGACTTGCACACATCTTGCAAACACAAATTAAGGCTATGGGCCAAGCAGTGAACTGGTATTGCACGTGGTTCCTCTTGCTGAATTTGAGTGGAAACACCATTAAATCTACCACTCATCGCCGCAGCTCCATCATATCCTTGGCCACGACACTGATTTAAAGGTAAAATACAACGAACGAGAACATCCTTTAGGTGAGATACAATTGAATCAGCTGTGCAACTTGAAATTTGGAATAGACCTAACGGATCTTCGTGGATGTTATAATACTCATCTACCCAGCGACAGCAAACGACCAATTGCTCCTTATTGGAGATATCTCTAGTTTCATCTGCCATAAGACCAAAATATCCTGCCTCGCGGATTTTTACAAGAATCCCACGCAGAACTTCTTGGCCCATTAGAGAAATGATTTCATTTACAATTTGAGGAGACTGATAACGCTTTAACTCCAGCCACTTTGAAATTTCTGGGACATCTTCAGCCCTAGTTTTCAACATTTGATATAGGTTTCCGTCTTTATCTTTATGTCCTAAAATTATATTTAAATAACCTATAAAACATGCCAAGTGTATTGGTTGTGTGGACAACCAAATCAAATAATCAATAACAGCCTTCTTGTCTCTTACCTCGTAAAGGTATTCCTTGTCTGAGAAGGTATTTAATGGAAGATATCTCTTTTTTCAACAATGTGCGGTGCAATGCTTGAGAATTTTCAAGTTCAGTTGCTAACTTACTAGCAACTGAAGGTTGATGCATTAGGATAATTTTCTCCATGCTTTCCTTACGACATTGGCTGCTCTCATGTTCTTTAAACCGCTGAAGAGCTTTCTTCCAATTACCAAAACCATCCAGAGTGAAGGCTTTTTCTTGTTTTGAACTGAATGTCAACAATCCTTTTTGCTTAGCTTTTCGGCAGTAGTGGCAGAAGACTAAATAGCTTGTGCCACATAATGTAATCCAAGAATAATTATTATACCAAACAACTTGAAATGTCCTAACCCGAAAATTTTTTCCAACACCAGAAGCTTGAGATGTTTTTTCCAGGATAGTTTTAGAACGTGGTTGAAAAGGTTCGCTTGAGTCTTCAGCACAACATATATTTTTGCATTTAGCACTACCCTAGAAAATGAATTTCGTATGTGCATGATTAGCTGACATTAAGTTTGAAACCTAGCAGTAATACGTAAAATCCAGTACAATATAAGTTATGTTTGAAATACTTAACCTGTATATACAGTCTTTATAGTACTGATAAACTTTATATATAGATTATAGTCTTTATATAGAAATTATAAATATACCTGATGATCATTAATATTTTTATCCAAGACTGTTATTGGTTGGTGTTCTTCACCAAAACTTTCGTCTGCAGTATAAGTATAAAGTAAAATATATAACTTAGATATTTTAACATATTCTTCACTTTAGGATTTAGTGATTTACTGGCTTATAAAACAGAATAGGCAATATGTTGAGTCGATAAAGTCATAAATATACTATACTACCCGTATACTATAAATTAAAAACGTAAAAGCACCTACCTTGCTTTGCCGAATCGCTAAGGTCTCTACGTTCGGTTTCTTCATCAGAAGACGCGGAAAGAGATGGGTTATCATCCTCCTGTTGACTTTCTAATTCTTTGCATTTAAAAAACTCTTTAATAGAACCATACCTAATTTTAGTGTGCAGTGATAGCCAATTTGTGCAGTGATAAAAGTAAAATGTGCAGTGATAAAGTGCAAAATGTGCAGTGATAAATTTGATTTGATAAGTTGTTAATTAACACAAGAAAATGAGACAATGCCGGCAGAAAAACTGAACTAATCCGGCGAAACATTTTGAATGAGAATGATTTAATTGAAATTGAAATGATGACTGCCAAATTATCGAACGTCCGCATTAATAACATACTTATGGTTCATCAGATGAACAAAGTCTCTCACCAAAGATCTCTTTATAAGTTTGGAAGAAGGAGTGAATGATACTTATAAGATTTTGTAATTACTGTATAATTTTCAGAATTCTATAGAATGTCCTCACACATTGCAGGAGATACCCATTTATAGTGCCTAGATTACAAAATTGTCTGTGGCGCATGCCCCTGGAACTCCTCTAGAGGTTTGTCACGCCTAAGCCCGTAAGCGCCTTTAATTTGCCAAGACGAAAATATTTATTTTCTTCAGTCATGTTATTATGAAACTAAGCTGTCACAGATAGTCGTAACTGCAGGTGCTGTCAAGGCCGCCCAGAGGTGTGAAATTTGCCCTGTGACCCCAGTTAAAGGGGGGCCCAAATAAAGAATTGCAGTGAAATATACCGCATAGATATAACTGTCAACTAGACTTCCAGAATGCAGTATTTGGCCATTTCTGGGACCTCAGATTCAAAATTTTTCGGGTGATGCCCCCGGACCAGGGAATCATAGTGTTAGAACATGGAATCACGAGAGCCCCCAAGTCAAAGTTTGTCCTGGGCCCCCAAATTTCCCCGAGTGCTGTGCAGTGTATGTTCGTTTTGGCATTTTTGAATATGAATAGTAGCCTGCTTTGTTGTTACACATTATTATAAGGGTGTGTTCAGAAATTTTCAGGGCGTGCTTCTGCTCGACTAAACTTTGCACAAAACTGTGCAGTGATAAAAAATTCTTAAAATTAGGTATGAATAGAACGAGAACGGCCAGCACTCATGTTTTATTCATATTTTGCTTGCGATTGCGCTAGATGATAACACTTAGCGAAGCAATTGCCGCTGCCTAAGTACCTAACACATCAAAACTCCATGATAAAACAAATAATCGCTCACAAATAAACTCGCGATGAAAGAAAAATTTTATCCATGTAAATTTTGATCACAGATACGTGTATTACTAAAATGTATACACAATTCTAAATACTTTCAGTTTCGAATTTCACTGCATTTATTGTAAATTGAGTAAATTCAATGATTTCTTGGGGGGGCCGAAAGCTATCTCGGCCCCCCCTTATAAATTTTT